GCCAGTTCCGACTTACATACAGATTCAACTTAAGAACCCCAGGCGTCCCCAAGTCAGCTGCTGCTGAAACTGATCAGCGGCTGATTCCAGGAAGCCTGGGGCAGAGCAACTCTGCCTCGGGCTTCCTGTACTCAGCGCTGGTCAGTTTCAGCAGCAGCTGAACCTGGACGCCAGTTCCGACTTACATACAGATTCAACTTAAGAACAAACCTACAGTCCCTATCTTGTACGTAACCCGGGGACTGCCTGTATTGTCTTATTTTGACAAAATATGCAGAATTTTGAGAGACAGAATTCCCTTAGGGATATATTAGGAAGACATACATTCAGAATTACATCTTTATGTACATTTTAGAAGCTTACTATTTTTCCAGTATTATACGTAACATTGCATTACTAATCTTAATTCTTAGATCCCTCATATGTGGTATACACATCTGTCCCTCCCAGTCTTTCACTACTTTCCCCAAGAGGGACTGCAGTTCTTACTTCCATTCCTAATCCCTCTCCCAGAGCTAGAAAAGGCATCCTCTCTTGTGCTTACTCATATCCTGTGTGCTGACTTTTTAACTGTCTTATATTGTAAGAGTTTATTGGCTCTTAGCCACCACTGGCAAATGTATCCAATCCTCCCCCAGCTGGCTCCCAATTTCAGGAAGAATCAAGAATCCAGAGTTGGTAGAAGTGAGCACATTAAGACCACCGGATGGAAATTGGAATTTCTAGTAGAGAGATGTGGAGTTAATGAAGAAAAGCTCATCCGAAGAGTCTCAACACCAACAGTGAAGAAACCACCTAATCCTTGCACAGCAACCACCTTAGCTCTAAGAATTAACCTATTCCAATACAGTATTTAACTTTAATATTAACATCTTAAGCCAAACTAAGGAATAAATAGTTCACCACCACTGTATGGTGGTCAACAGAAAAAAAAATCTGCTTAACTGGCTATGACTATAGTGCATCAATACGGCACTTCATATTAATAAGCAGAGTAACTAGAAAAACAGTTCTTTTGGATATTAAATTCTACATAATACAGAGGACAGAAATAAAGAAGAAGACCTGGCTCTTATATAAAATTTCCCATCAGTAGTTCTCAAACAGCATAGTCCCATTTGTGATCTTTCACACACACAAGATAAGCTATAGACTGAACACTAGATACTCATCACATTTATATAAAACATTTTAATAAAATTGACTTAAGTCCACATCACATAATATTTTTCAAGAGATAGATAGATTACATTGGCCATCCCAAATGTGTACGACAGGAACGCCCCAGAAATTTTTCCAGCCAAAAAAAGAGTTATAAAGGTCATTATTCTTTGAAGTTTCTTTCATGTGTGGTGATATACTGCATGCAGTTTGTTGGGGATCTGCATATTATTATTCCTCACCATCACTTCTCTAAGATGTGGAACCTAGAAAAATACTGGGAGAAGCACCAAAGTGAGTAAACTATTTAATAAAGTATCAATCACCTTTCCAGATCTTCTTTTTCCGCTTCCTGCTCACATTTCTCTATCCCAAATTTTGCTTTCAGTGACCTTGCCCTGGCAATGGTAGCTTCCGCACTCATAATCTGAGCAATGATCTCCTGCATAAGGGTGATTTTTATTTTGAATGAAGGGAAAAGGAGAGAAAGAAAAAAAACCATCAGCATTGTAAACCCACTCTATGTTCAGTACTAAGATCTGCAAAGTTTCTATTCCTGGCTAACTTGAGACACTTACTTCCAATTTTTTGTCCTCTGGGTTTGGAAATCTTAAAACTTTACTGGAATGAGATATTATCTGTTTAATAATCTTCTTAACTGAAGAGATATCTTCCAGCATTTCTAAAAAGAACACAACTTTAGTCATAGTATCATCACTGCTCTTAAAAATCATTTGTATTACTTTATTATATGTTATTTACCTTCTTCCTTTACCTTTAGTACAGCTGCATGGATAATACAAGGCAAAAGATGCCTTGCAAGGTCAGCTGGTTTCTGAACTGCAAGATAGTGAAGCACCTATGGTATATCAAAAAATGAATACCTTAATGACAAAATTCATTTTGCAAAAATAAGATTAATGGTGATTGAGCACTAGTGGTTAAATTAGAAAAATGGAACATTAAGCTGCACTCCACCCATTGCAACATTAATAAGATAGATACATGAATCACCAAAGTATGCTATGATGTTATTAAGCCTCACACACTGCCTATTAAGCCACGCAGGGGCTCAGATTTGCAACAGAGAGAAATTCCTCTCTCCAGTCCCCAAAGCTTCCATGGCCAGGAGAGAGGCACCTCTCTCACCAGACCTAGTACTGGAGATGCCACAGCCAGGGAACAACGCAGAACTGCAGAGGCACCAGTCCCAACTCGGTGCTGTCCCAGAGCTCCTGTGGCCATAGGAGAGGCATCCCTTCTTTGGCCCCATCCAGCCTACTCTCGACCTTGCTCTGGCTGGGAGACAGGCTTCTCTCCCCAAGCCATGTCCGCTGGAGCTGCCGTGACCATGGAGAGGCACCTCTCACAAGGCCCCAAGCTGCTGTGAGGAGACAGAGCTGGGAGTAGTCCTCTCCTTCCACAGCAACCTAAACCCTTAATCGGCAGCAGAAACCCGCCTCTCCCCGCCATCCCTAGCCAGGGCCCTAGCCCCAAACTGATCCCCTTCCTGCACCCTGAATCCCTCATCACCAGCCCCAGCCCAGAGTCTATATTTTCAGTGGGAGCACTCACCCTCCTGCACTCTAACCCCCTGCCCCAGTCCTTGGCTCCATCCCCATCACACACCGTCTGTTTGTGGAATGACTTCTGTTATGTAATACATCACCTCCATATTGGTGGGCATAACATATTAGAAGGAACAACAGATGGGACTTAAATTTTTCTCATCTATAATTTGTGATTCTAAGGAAATTAAGTAAAGAAAGAAAATACAAATAATAAAAGTTTCAAGAAACTAAAGCACTGAACTAATCAAAGTCTTTGTTTCATTTATTAGAAATGCAAGTAAGTCCAAAAGTAATATAACTTACCAAGTTATTGCTGGGCATGTTTTCAAATAGCAAATGCATTATTTATTTAAATTTCAAAAAGTCATTCTAAGAACAGTTATACCATAGCAAAAAAGTAGTCTGCAACATTCAAATTAGCATTTTGAGTAATGCTATGGCATTTAAGTAGCACTGTTTAAGGAGAATAAACTTAAAATGTAGTGCAATTACAAATTACTGATGAAATCTTTCAGGATAGACAGAACAGACTACCATACCACATTTACCTTCTCAGCCTCTCTGGTGTCATCAAACAGTCGCCTTTGCCTCCGGGCTGGAACTGGTTTTGCCGTTTCCCACGCCTCTACCCACATGTTACTAGGAATCTTCATTCGGGCACTCAGTTCACCCTTAAGTACTCTATTTCCCTTTTCATCAACCACTTCCTCTTCAATATAATCTCTAGGAGAGTACCACCTTACAAAATCCTCCAGACAACAACCAGGGTTAGCTGCCTAAAATGGAAGAATAGAATAAGACAAAATATTTGTTTATATACAATCTAGTAAGCAAGACAATGTGGTTTAGTGGCCTGAGCCAAGCACTATGAGCCAAGAATTCCCAAGTTCTAGTAACAAATCACTAGCTCATTGTGTGAACGCTAGAAAAAAAAAAAAAGGAGACTAGAAAAGCACTGAACATTCACTTTATTAAATGGTACACAACAACAGGGAAAAATATCAATCACAATGAAAAATGCGCATCCTTTTACTCATACAAATCAGTACAGGTTAAGGATGTTAAGTATCAACTAAATGACTAATCAAGTCGATGCATTTTGCATCAACTATTCAATTAGTCAATGGGGCGCCTCCACCTTTGAAGTGCAGCACTAGCCATAGGGCTGTTGCTATACTTCAAAGACAAAAGCGCCATGTGGAGCCCAGGGTCAGCTAGGATCCCCCCTGCTGATCCCGGGCTCCACACGGCACTGCCACTTTGAAATGCCACGTGCAGCCTGGGAACGCCCCAGCTGGCCCAGGCTGCACTTGGTGTTTCAAAGCGGCAGCGCTGTGTGGAGCCCGAGGTCTGGCCCCAGGCTTCAAGCAGCACTGCCATGTTGAAGTACCCCCTCTTCTCCCTCCCCCCTTGCTGATAGAGGCAGCAAGTGGGGGAAGAGGGGAAAGCAACTAGTCGACTATCCTATCAACCATCTGATAAGCATTTGTTTATTGGATAGTTGACTAGTACTTCACATCCCTAATACAGGTTTACCATCTTTTTCAAGCAAGTTCAAAATTAAGTCTTTGTCTTGTTGCATGTGATTCCCTTCTGCATTAGAAAATGAGATTTACAAATTCTTGTGATTTGGGAAGAAAAACAGACCTATTACACTGGAGATAGGAAAAAAAATCATGCTGTCATCACTCAGTGCCTGAAAAAGTCAGAGACTACATTAAAACACTTTCTAAACTAAGCTTTGGTTTGGTTACTAAAGCAGGTAGCAAACAACACTTGCCCAACAGCTTATTAAATGAGAGCAGCCTATTAACTTTTATTTTACAAGTCAAACTCTCCCACTAACTTATAAAGCCTCATTTAATAGCACAATTGATTTCTGTTTCTACATTGTCACCAGAATGCTAGAACTGAAGAAGGCAGGGTTTTCCTTGCCAAATCAAAAGTTATATTTTACATCACTACTTTATGTTTTCAAATAACTTGAACTACAAAAATTACTATGAAGTGCTGCATCTCCAAATAGTTTGATACACTGACCTAATTTTACCAGGGGGAAATTAACAGATCTTAATTTTTAAGCTTTAGAAGAATTATAAACTGTATTTTTAAACTTATCCTGCTATTCTTTTCCTAAAACAGCAAGGGAAGAAAAACAGCTATCAGGATATCCTTCAAATTAGTCATCTTGCCCTATTTTCCCAGCTTGCTCATGTCAAAATAGTTCCAGAGCATATACCTTAAATGACTCCATATCTGAGAGTAAGCAAGCACTCTGCATACGTGCCCGAAGGTGAGCGCCTTCTGCCGATGTTCCCAGTTTAGCCAACACTTCAGACTGTTCTTCTAGCAGATCTTCTGTCATAGGTGCTGGCTCCTGTAAAGATGAAGGACTAGAGATTCACAAAAGGACTTTGGATACATCTACAATTGCAATGCTACAACTGCATAATGCCAACAGGCAAAACTGAACCTGGGACCTCTGGAGCTTAGGGCATGAGCCTCTACAGCTTGAGCTAATAACTAGTAAGCTCTCAGCTAACACTGAGCAAACTCATTCTCTCTTTGTAAGTAGCCTAAGTGCCACTACATGTGACAGTGAACCACACCCCAAAAGTGTGTGGGTTACATACTTCCCCCAGCTGAGGAAACACGTTCAAATTTTCAGAGACATCCCAGTTGAAATCCTGGATGAGCCCCCGCTTGTAACCACTTTGATACAGAGGTATCAGTGCGGGGACAGTGGGGGGGTGGCAGGAGCTGGTGCTTTCAAGGAATCAGCTTTTAAGCAGGCTCTCTGCAAGCACTTGCTCATGGGGAGCCGCAGCCACCCTGTGCTTCTGAATCTGATACAGTGGTTACACATTTACAGGGACGCCTCCCCCCCCCCTCAAGAACACGCTTCTTTAACATCCCTAAGGCAGCAGGGGGAGAGGCAAGGGAACAGGTGGCACCCTGGAGACTGTGCTGGGGGAGGGGTTCCCCCCAGCACCAGTTCCTTTCCCCGCCTTGCTGCCTCTCATAGAAGCAGCAGGGGGAAGGGACGCTGCACAGGGCATGGGGTGAGAGGGGACTCCAGCAATCCCCGCTTGTCCCGTGTTCCCAATGTAGTGCTTCAGCCTTTGAAAGAGCCCACAGGGCTGCTACCACATTTCAAAAGCTGAAGCACCACAGTGGGAACCAGCACACGCAGCTTCCACATTGTGCCTCTGCCTCTCCTGCCCCCAGCAGAGACAGTTCTGGGAGGAACCAGCTATTAAGCCGGCCCCCCTAGCACTAGCTCTTGCTGTCCTGCCGCAGGGGAGGAGGGAAGGTGGGGAGAGGAGTGACTAGTTGAGTCACTATTCAACTATCCGATAAATTTATGCTTATCAAATAGTCAACTAATCGCTTACATCCCTAATCCTAATATAAGTATTCCACTTTTAAGGTGTGTCTACACTGCACCAGACATCGAAGTAAGATTTGCATAGTTTAAATTGCATATTGCATAACTTATTTTGATGACATTTCAAAATAGCTTATTTTGTCATGGTCTACACAGCACCAAATTCCAAAATAAAGCACTATTCTGAAACATCCCTTACTCCTCGTAGAATGAGGTTTACAGTGACATTGGAATAGCAAGCACAAAATAATGGGCTTGCTGTGAAGATGTGGGTTAGGGTATCCCGAAATAGCGTTGCAGTGTAGACGTACCCTCAGTGTGTATGCCATTTGATCAGAGATTTTCATTAGCAGTGTCCATTTGGCCTGCACAAGTGCCATTAGTATCTTCGTACCGCACATAAAGGCCCTATCAGGCTGTGTGGGTGAACCTGCCCGTCAGTTTTTTTTTCCACTGTGGTGTCTCATGGGAAACTCCAAAGCAGAGGGGAAAGAGGGCAGGTAGTGAATGACTCATAGGGACACACATCTCAAAAAGCCACTGCTACTGCACAAAGTGAATCATCTCTTCGACCAGTGTTTTGTGCCAAAAAAAAAAAAAAAAAAAATCCACACAAAATATTTTAAAATTCCACAAAATTCTGTATATTATCAAAACAATACCAATTTCAATTATTTTGGTAATTTATTTGAAAATATGTCAGCAACTATGTCTACAACAAGAGAAACAAAAAAAAATTCCCCCAAGGACAGTGGTTCTAAAACTTTTTGATCCGTGGACAACCTGGCTCAAAGAAACCTCTCCACGGATCACCAGTTGCTGATGGAAACTCGCCACTAATTACATAATTATACCCTAGGCATTTTGCTTGTACTGCAGCAAAGGAGAATGATTTAATTTAAATTATTAAACAGATTAAGTGTTTTCACATTCCCATGTTAATCAAACTTCATTTTAAATAAAGTAAAATATTGATGTTCAACACAAAAGGTTTTAATGTTTTCTTTATTTATGGCAGGGGCGGGGAAACTTTTTTGGGTCACTGGCCCACAGAGAAATCAGCTGGGGACCACACAAGTGAGAAGCAAAAAACTCCTCCAAAACTCCCAGCCCTTACTGATGTGTCCATCAACTGAGACACCTCACTCCTCTGATGCTCCTGTCTCATGGTATGAGGGGAAAGGAGAGGGAGGATTGAGGGTAAGGGTTTCCCATAGATCAGATTTACTTTTCTGGGGTTCCAGAGTTAGTGGATGTGGTACACCCCTTTAACTCTGGGATGGAGACAAAAATGAAGGGTTCAGTGTGTGGAACAGGACTGCCAGCTAGTGGGATAGGGATGGGGTGCAGGATGCGAGGTCTGGGTGGGAGGTGGGGTGCAGAAGCAGGCTGGGAAGAGGGTGTTTGGCCAGGGTGGAGGGAGCAAGAGCAAGGGAGGTGCAGTATGTGGCCTGGAGGGAGGGTGCAGGAGCAATGGTGGATACTGGAGCACGATAGGAGTATGTGTTTGGGGTGCAGAGGACTTGGGTTACATGGGGTTGAGGGAGGGATGGGCTGGGATGGGATGCCACAGACTTACTCTGGTTAGACCTTACCTGGCTCCTAGCCAGCAGCCCAGCAGGTTCCTTAGCCAGGGTCACTGTCTTCCAGCCCCTGTACATGTTCAGATCAGTTGCAGGAGCCATGTTTACTTCTCTGAACTGAATGCTGAGAGCCCAGGGGGATGAGGAATGAAGGGCAATTCACATGCTGCCTGTCCTGCAAACAGACAGCTGCTATTGGCTTGAAATGGCCAATGAAAGCTACTGGGGGCTGGAGCAGCATGAGAAGCCTCTTCTCCTCCTCCCTCCAGGTTCTCAGGGTTCAGAAACACAGGTGGCCCGTTGAGACTCTCAGTCCCATCCAGGCCTCAGATTATATTTTGCCCAGCCCTGGTGGAGGGGAGGAGTGAGGTGGATTGGGGTGCAGGGTCTGAGCATGGGGGGAGCTGTTTACCTGACTCTGAGCCCTCATGGGTCCCAAGCATGGTCTCCCACTGCTCCCATTGGCAGCAACTGCAGCCAATGAAAGCAGCAAGGAAAGCTTGTCATTATGGTGGCATTTCCCCAGCGAGCTTGGCAGAAGGGAAGTGAGAAATGGCAGCATAGAGCCGTTTGTTCTCCCTCCCTTCTTAGAGCCCGTCCAGGGGGTGTCAGGGCTTCTCCCCCCCCAAGTGGCTGGAAAAGCTCCCCTCCTCCCCCAAAAGTATTCGATTAATTTTATTCCTAATTTATTTTAAACTCTATGGCCAGATTGCCAACAGTGCTTGGTAAGTATTCAATGAGCTGAGTTGTGATTGGTCTTGTGGGATTGTTTTCTTGGCTTGCCTGCGGGAACACAAAATACAATGTTGTGCACGTGTGCATGCATGTGTGCGCGCACCTGCCACTTGAAAATCTGGTTCATGAATTCTTGGGCATCCACATTTGAAATTGCCTATGTGTGACCCTTCCCCCCCCTTAGCCCACGTGCGAGAACAGCTGTGGAAAGGGAACAGCAAAGGAGAGTCAAGGTTCCATGGCATTTTTGGTGAGACCTTTTGTTATTTCCAACATGCCCAATTCCATCACGTTGCTTGGCAGCTGGAAAGACCCCTTTTTTGGAAAGAAAAACTTCATTGCGCTGCCCATCCCCTCAAGAGGTGGGCAGGAGGGAGATGAGAAATGCCGCATGGAGCTGCTTGTGCTGCTCTCTCTTTTGAGCTGGTCTAACGGGGGTCAGTGATTTCTTCACACTTCCCTGCCCCACAGGAAAAGCCCTTCACACTCCCTCTGGCAGGGCTACTCCCCTCCCCCCCCTTCCCATGTGGGGAAAGCCCTTCATTATGCTGCAGTTCTGGAGTCCTGGGGTCAGAGCTTTCTTCAGACAAGTTCTTTCACAGGGAAAGCCCTTCACACTCCCTCCCCACCTCTCCAATGGGGAAAGCCCTTCACACTCCCTCCCTGCTCCTCCTCCCCAGCAGGGAACGCCCTTCACATTCCCTCACTACTCCTCCTTCCCGGTGGACCAGAGCTGACCTGGGCGGGTGGGAGGAGAGAAACACAGCATGGAGCCACTTGTGCTGCTCCCCCTTTTCAGCCAGTCTGGCGGGGTCGGGGCTTTCTTCATGGCTGTTTAGTGGACACGAGGCTACAGTGCCAGTGCGAGCTCCCTGCTACAGGAGGAAGAAGGGGGGATTAACTTGAGCCTCAGACCGCTCGGGTGGCAGCCGTGGACCATTAATGGTCCACTTTGAGAATCATTGCCCTAGGAGTATAGGTTTCTTTAAACCATTATGGCGACCATGTTCCTGTTTCTCTGCCCCTTCCCCATCCCAAGCCCAGTTGGGGAGCCAGACACCCAAACCCTTCTTCCCACAGCCCAGCCGTGGAGTACACCCCCCACTCCAAACACTTATACCTTCTACCCCTCAGAGCTCAGCTGCGGGACACCTCCTTCCCCCAAGCCCAGACATCCATACCACCCAATTACAGGCTCAACAAAGCCATAGGGAGAAGCAGCCTGATGCTGTCCTCCCTTCAGGGCATGCCAGGAGCTTCAGATGCTGGGAACCTTCCTGTTTCTCTCCCTGCCCTTCCTCCAGCAGTGCCTTTTATTTGCAAGCTGGGGAGCTGGGAGCTGCCAGGTCTAGTGGCCCCCTGCAACTCTGCAGCCCATTTCTGCAAGTGAAAAAGGAAATTCTGCACAGAACATTAATTCTGCACAAATTCTGCATTGCATGGTGGTGTAGAATTCCTCCAGGAGCACTCTATGGGTACACTACTGCTTGGGAGTCACCGTGAGTATAATCCGATGGGAGAAAGGTGTCAATAACTGAAGAGACTGCCATCTGCAGCATGAGCTCAACAGATTTGGGGAATGGGAATATTTTTAAGGAGTAATAGCTATAGACTTTGATCTAGTCAAGTGTTCTGAAACACTAGTGGTAATGGAATATCAACATCCTGGATGCTAGTTAGAATACACTTGAAAATCCATTTAGAAAGTGTCTTTAAAAATGTGAGAACCCTTTGATCTCTCTGCAATCTGAAGAAATAGCCTGTTGGATTTACAAAATGGTTTAATTCTACACAGATGAAAGGATAACGCTGTCCTGGCATCTAGAGTATGAAGAACAGTCTCTTGGTTGGAGTACACAGTTTTGGAAAGAAAACTGGCAGACATATGGTCTGAATCACATGCAATTCAGAAGTTACAACAGGAAGAAACCTCAGCTGCAGCCATAAGAATGTGTTATTCTTGTGGAATGTTGTGAAAGTGAGAGTTTGCCTTTAACACACCAATCTCTTGAACTCTCCTACTCGAGGTAAAGGAAAACATTTCGTTGATAAATTCATTAGGGAACATAAATTCATCGCCATTGCTTCAAATGGGGTTGCCCCAAGCAGGTTATCCCTTTTTCTGTGGGAAGAGCTTCCCCAAACCTTTCATAAATTTAGCTACTATGGAGATTCTTCTGCTCATTACACCCTTCCCCAACCAACAATGACCCCATCCCAGTCTCCATTCCCCAGGTTTCTCATCCCAGTCCCCTTGCCAAGCAGTCTTAGTTTCAGTCCTCCAAAGTCCCAGACCTCTGCCACTACCCTCCCAGGTGTCCAGTTGCCACCACCATCAACATTCCCCAACCACATAGGCTATTCCCAGTTTCCCTCCCTGGGCTTCTCATCACCTCTGAAACCAACACAAGATTTGCCAAATCTTTCTCTTCTTTCTTCCTCAATGATTTTCAATTCCAGTCCACCACCACCACCATCATCCCCCATTTGATCTTAGTCTCTTCACCCACCTACTGGCTCCCAGTCTCCTTGCCCAGCCAATCCTAATCTCACCTCCATCCCATTTTAGTCCCAGTCACCCCTCTCCTTACCCCTGCCAAACTTCACTCTATCTACTTCTCCCAGAGGTCTGCCTCTTCTGCCTTCTGCACTGAGGTCAGTCAGCTTCTTCCTCCATAGTGCTTTGGGCAGAACAACATTGAAAGCACAAGGAAGACAAGCTTCCTCAAAGTTCAGGTATTTGGACCTGGAGATAGTACATTCCACAGTTCTGAGCTACAACTGCAATTCCAAGCTGAAGCATACTCAGTGTGAATAGTTTTTAGGGAATTTAGTTGTTAAAATCTAGTATGTCTTTAACTGAGCACATGCAAATTGTGATTCTTTCAAAGGCTTGTAAATTGGCCAAACTTGGTCAGATTGTCTTTGGGACAGTAAAGCTACATCTAGACTGCAAGCCTCTTTCGAAAGAGCGTCTAGACCACAACCAGTTCTTTCGAAAAAGCAATGCAGTCTGGATGCTCTCTTACAAAAAAGCAGTTTGCATTACATAGCACCTTTTTCGAAAGAGCACTCTCGAAAAAAGGCATTCTTCCTCGTAAAATCAGGTTTTTTGCGGTCGAAAAAGCTTCCATGTTCTTTTGATTTACTTTCGAAAGAACGCAGCAGCAGTCTAGATGCAGGGAAAGTTTTTTCGAAAAAAGGCCACTTTTTAAAAAAAAAAAAATCCCTGTAGTCTAGAAGCATCCTAAGAGGCACATTCTTGACATCAAGTCTATTCCAGGCCAAATTTCAAGTCTCTACTCTGAAGCGTGATGGTGCTAGAACTGTTCAAAGAGAAATGTTACCAGAATTTTTTAACATGGCCAAAATAATGTGGGTTTTTTTTACCTTTATCCTTGGAAACAGCTGGATTTTCTTGGCTTAAGTTTTCCAACACATTCAACATGGAGCAGAAACCCAGCATGTAAAATTTTAGCCCTAACAGTTAAAAGTTTGAAGCAGCTGAAAACGGGGTCATATAGGCTACATCTAGACTGCAAGCCTCTTTCGAAAGAGCGTCTGGATTCTCTTTCGAAAAAGCACAGTTTGCATTCAAATGTATGCTTTTGAAAAAAGGCGCTATTCCTCAAATTGAGGTTTACCACGATCAAAAAAAAACTGCCGTGTTTTTGATTAACTTTCAAAAGAACACAGCTGCAGTCTAAACTGCCGTGTTTTTGATTTACTTTCAAAAGAACACAGCTGCAGTCTAGATGCAAGTGAAGTTTTTTGAAAAAAGGCTACCTTTTTCCAAAAAAACCTGTTGTCTAGACATACCTATAGTGGGAAATGCTACCATACCCACCAATAATTGGTTATAAAAGCAACTTGCTAAAAATTAACCTATAAATATTGCTAAGCTACTACATTCTAACCTGTGTTATTGGAATGTAGAGAGGTTCTCCGGGATGCAGCAAAGTCAGCTTTCCATGTGGATGTAAGCGACCTTCTGGTTTTAAGGTTGCAGATTCTTTACTTCCTTCTTTTGTTCCTCCTTTCTTTCCATTTTCTTGTCCATTTCCTTTCAGTTCTTCTGTGTCACTGAGGCATTCATAAAATTCTTCTTCACTGTCACTCCATGATTCCCAAGATTTTCCAACCTCTCCTCTTTCCTTTTCAGTCTCCTTTTGATAATCTCCACCTGAATGGTCTACTGCTTTCCCAGTATCACCATAAGAACCACTAGGTGAACGATCAACAGTATATGCTTTTTTCCCCTCATCTCTTTCTTTCTTTCTTTCAATGCAACAGTTTAACATCTAGAAAGTTAAAAACAGTAACAAATTATTTCTAATATATTAATAACTATTCACTAATATACTTACATAATGGCAGCAATGCCATTTTACCACATACTGAAACCTATTAAAAACAGTATCAGAAAACTCTGTTCTAAAAGACAGCAGTATAATTAATATGAAAGAATGTGCACAGAGGCAGAGATTTTTTTATCAGCTTTAAGAGAAGTGACCACTACCAGAAGCTACACTGAAATTGGAAAAACCAACTGCTAAAGATCAGAGTTAACGCTAACCATATATTGACTTTACATTGACTAAATATTTTATTGTTGTTTATTATACCTATGAGGAAAGAAGAATTAAGAAACAGATCAGTCTTAATTTGTGATATTTACCTGAAGTTTCTGATGCAGTAGACAGCATCTCAGATCTGGAGATCCATTAGCTAACCTGTAAAATGTTAAACTTACACATTTACCACAAAACATCTGCATTTATGACACTACTACATATTGGGAGCTGGTACTCTGAGTACAGGTCTGAGTACAAACATCCACATATAAAAACTAACATGGCAGCTACCCTATTAGGCAATATTTCAGTAGACAGGCCAAAGACTTAACAGGGCATGGGAAATGACCTACAGTACTTTCACCTGTACAGGTTGTTCCTCTAGGTCAGGGATGAGACAAATTGGGAGACTGTCCAGGAATACTTGGACTATCTCTGCCCATGATGTACCCATTCTGGGATTAAAAGGATATCAGTTTCAGGGCTAACAATCCAACACCTTTTACAAGAAGTAGACAGACTTTAATAGTAATTTTACAAGACAAAATTATACCAGAATGGTAACTAAAAACTTTTTAAATCCCATTTTACTGACTGATGTCACATTTCACACAAAAGGATGACTGTGTAGGAGCCACATACTCATCATCTCTCTGTTTGTAGGCCAAATTCCTGCCACAGTAGACACAGAGCAGGGCTACCGCAGTTGCTCAAAAAAGTAACCAAGTACCCAAAATGGGAGATGAGCATGAACCCAGAAACCAGGGGCAACTGCCCCCCTTTCTGCTTTTGTTCTGAGAGAACAGGAAGGGGTGTTATACTTTACTTTCCCAGCTGCCTTGGTTTTAATGTGAAATAGGGCGAGAGGGAATGTTGGCACCAATACTCCTTTTTAGATTCTCCCGAAGTTCTCTTGCCATAATAAAATGATGTGCCTTTCTACCTCTCCCTACCCCCTAAATTCTCTAGCTTTGTGGATCAAGGCAAGGCAACAGATGCTCCTTTCCTACCCCCTGTGCTTTGTTCCCTCATGGGAGGGAGTAGGAAGAGAAGCCAGGAGTATTAATTCAAATAGCGTACATCTAAAATCATTTTTGCAAGTCTGAAAAATCAGAGTATAGTTTAAAGTCACACCAAGTTATTCTTTTAACACAAACAATGGACATCTTCAGTCAAATTCCAATGGAAATCTTACCCTGGAATTAGATAATTTTTCTCCCATCTGCAGCGCATTTCCACTACAAATTCTTGCCAGAGATGTGCCACGCCTTTTACCCCTCCATGGTAGAAGTTGATCATACAAAGACATAAGGCCAGTTTGTAGGTCAGACTATCTGAAGGAGCTGATTTGAATTGATTGTAAAGATTCTACATTTAAAAAAACAAAAACAACAACAAAAAAACAGAAAATGACTATTTTTCAAACTTGATTTCACTAAAACACAAATTGGTATCTCTGTGTGTCAATGACAACAAAACTCAACTCTGCAAAAGTATTAGCCCTCAATGATAAGGGAGAAAGGGGAATGAAGACAGTTTTTGTTTTTGTAGACCAGTGGCAGGCAACATGCAGGGTTCTACATGTGGCCTGCAAGACATTTGGTTTACTGTTGCCCACACGCATGGCTGCCAGAGTCCTCTGATTTCCATTCATATTGTTGGGTGTTGATTGCACATAACATTGGCTGTGAGAGCCATGCACCCCGTCTGCATCCAATCACTGCTATAGTTCAACTGAGACACCTGCAAATTCTAGGTACACAAATGCGGTTAGCAAAACTACCCTATTCTAGGCGAATTTTAATTATGACAATCTGGCCCTCCCTCATCTCAGTTAGCTGCAAGATTGGCTCTTCCTCATCTCAGTGGGCTACAAATCTTGCCTCCCACTGAGAGGAAAAAGGGCCACTCATGCAAACGACTCACTAGCCCAGCTTGCCCATCACTGCTGTACAACCTCCACTAAAAACAACTCTTCTTCCAATCATTCTTTAAAGGCAATAAGAGAGATAGAGCAGTAATAGACTAAGAGAAAAGAAAGGGCAAATAGCAACACCTGCTGGTCAAACAAGAATATAGCTGGTTTTTAAGATTGCCTATTTTAAAGAACATTTAAAACAAACTAATGTAGATAAAAGATATTCCATCTGGCAAACTTTTTTGAGGTAATAAAGAAATCACTAAGGCTGTGTCTACATTGACATGATCTTGCGCAAAAACTTGCTGCCTGTCTACGCTGGTCGCAAGTTCTTGCACAAGTACACTGACGTTCTAATGCATGAAATCAGTGCTTCTTGCACAAGAACTATGATGCTCCCGCTCAGGGAGAAGCCCTCTTGCGCAACTGTTTTTGCGCAAGAGGCCAGTGTAGACAGGCAACATGAATTTCTTGCGCAAGAAAGCCCTATGGTTAAAATGGCCATCAGAGCTTTCTTGCGCAAGAGAGCGTCTACACTGGAATGGATGCTCTTGCACATTTCTTGTGCAAAAGCACATGTCAGTGTAGACGCTCTCTTCTGGAAGAGTTTTTGCACAAGAACTCTTCCGCAAAAGAGTTCTTGAGCAAGATCATGCCAATGTAGACGTAGCCTCAGGTTTTATATATTTCTCTTATTAATTTCAATTATACTTACATATTCTTCACTCTCTGGAGGAGGATTGTTTCTTGAAGTACTAGGCATGGCTTCAGATCCATCTGTTAGTTTGTCAGCGGCATCAGGAAATAAGAACTTGGAAGAGGGAGAAATATACCATATCAGTTTTTAGCACTTTCCCCACTTTTCCCTCACACAACTTAATTTTTTCTTGATAGAGTTGCTAATATGCTGTGATCAACTTCTTGAGATGGAACATTGATATTCAAACAGTGGAGGTTGTATATTATGCCTTTTGATACTCTTGAAATGGATGAGTGTTACTTTGGCTTGTCAAATCTCAGACAAATAGGTATAGCTGTCTGTCAATAGAAAAGATAACCTTCCCCCCTAGTGCTAGTGGTATCACCTTTGATTACTCTAGGTACGAACAGGACAGAATCTTCCAATCTAATGACATTGTCATAATTAATCACTCTCAGTCAGCGAAAATATTTTTAATATTTTGTAAATCACAAACATAAAACAAAACACCAACATACACATGCACACACATGTGGAATGCAATTTGCTTACCAACATAATAGTACTGAGGACTTCGTTATTTAATGGCGATTCATCTACACCTCTGTGTTTACGAATTTTTTTCTTTGCACTGTGAACCATGTTTGTGACAGACAATTTATGGATTGGAACTGGTGCTGGCTCTGTGAGCTTTGACAAAGCATGGGTTATATCAGCAACCTCTATAAAATAAGAAATTATTCATAATAAATTAAGAGTTCTAATCTATTATCTCAATTTATTTAGGATTTGCAATTCTAATGAACTTGTTAACCTATGCTCTGCAATTCTGATGCCCTGTCCACATCTGAAATTAACTGTTTTTAGAAACACTACTGCAAGGCAGAGTGAGATTATAAAGCAGCCACCAGAGTTCCTTGTTTACTTTAGAGCAGAGGTGGACAAAAGGGCCTCCATGGACCTGATCCGGCTCACAGAGGCCCTGCCACTCTGCCACCCCCAGGCCAATTAGGGGCTGAGGTCAGAGGAGCATGCAAAGCTTCCACCTGCCCTGCCAGGAGCACACATTGCTTTGAAGCGCCATGTGCTGCCTGCGGAGCGGGTGGAGACGTCACGCGCTCCCCTGCCACCAAGCCCTTTGTAGCCCAGTGGCAGGAGAATTGTGCAAAGTTTCCTCCTCCCTCCCCCCGGCACCGTGAGGAGCACACAGCACTTCAAAGTGCCGTATGCTCGCACAGAGTAGGAGCAGGGCAAAGGAAGCTTCTCACAGCTCCCTCTGCCCCCAGACCCTGATTGGCCTGGTGGCGGGGGAACACGCGAAGTTTCCTCCTGCCCTTCCAAGAGCACACAGCACTTTTAAGCACCACGTGCTGCTCGCGGGGCGGGGGAGACATCACACTCCCCTGCCCCCAAGCCCTGATTGGCCTGGGGGCGGTAGGGTTGCCAGGTGTCTGGTTTTGAACCAGACAGTCCAGTATTTGAGCTTTCTGTTCGGGAAACAAATTGAGAAAATATAAGTGACAAATTATAAATGTCCGGTATTTTTTAAGTAAGATGTAATGTAGATTGTGATGTAACGTCGCATGTGTCCGGTATTTTTGTTAAAACTATCTGGCAACCCTAGGGGGCGGGGGAGCTATGCAAAGTTTTCTCCACGCGCCCTGCCCTGTGAGGAGCGCGCCGCACTTCAAACTGCCATACGTTCACGTTGGGCAGAGACAGGAAGAAGGAAGCTTCACACAGCTCCCTGATTGGCCTGGGGAGTGCACGAAGCCTCCTCCCACCTTGCGAGGAGCATGTGGCACTTTGAAGTGCCAAGTGTTCCTGGCAAGGCGGGGGTAGGGTGGGAGGAGGCTTTGCGCACTCCCCCACCCCCAAGCCCTGCATAGCCTCTTCCTGCCCTGCCAGGGGCATGGGAGCCTAGTGGGAAAGGGGGCAAACGGGCTCCCCCACCACCAGACCAATCATGCTCTGGGCATGGGGAAGCCCAGAATCATCCTGCTCCTGCCCCTCATGGGGTGACCCAGGGCCACTTCAAAAATTTTTGAAGTGGACCCCGGCCAAAAATTATTGCCCACCTATGCTTTAGAGATTGAAGAAAGGACAGGATTGGCCATGCTTGTTAATGGCTATCCTCTATTGCCCAATGCAGAACAAATTACAGTGGCCAAGTCTACAAAGAAATTAGACAAACTGTCCTACCCTCAAAATAAGATGTTACAATGTAAGTGAGCTAGTTTTAGGAGTATAAAGGAAGTGAAAAAGTGAATTTAAAAAGAACCTAGGAAAATTATGTAGATGAAAATCCACTGATTATCCAATATCAAGGGGGAGTACAACATCTGATTGATGGACCATGGAAAGGACTTCCTGATCAAAACCAAGAGAAAAGAAAGGAATCTGGTTCCCAAAGGACATGCTGTGAGAAGACAATCTTGTAAGCATGTCTACACTGCTATGAAGGCCCTGGCTTCCAGCTCAGGCTCAAGCCTAACTCCCTTCCATCTGCTAACCCAGGGCTTGCATCCAGCATCCCAGAACCTCCGGGGTAGAGGGTCTGAACCTAAGTCAAGCCACAACTCACAGTTCAAACCCTATTGCTTTACATTATAGACACAGCACCACAAGACTTGTGCTCTATGAGTTCACTAAAAGTAACCCACAACCCCATGGGTTGATTTTCTTTGTTCTCTGGACAGTCAAATCTGGTGCACACTGGTTCTTCTTTCTTGGGGAAAAACTGAGCGGCTGCATTTTGGGAGGAAATTAGGAAGTCTGGGATACGGGTGGTTGGACTCAGCTCTGCATAATGCAGTGTAGACAATTCCTAACCTGAGGTGTACACATTCAAGCCCTAGGTTAACAAATCCAGTGTCCGCTAACTCATGTTCTACTAACCTTAAGCTTACATTACAGTGTAGACATACCCTAAGAGACAAGCTAGATCTGAGTGTGGGAAGAAGAGTTAGAATTTGCCTATAATACTCCCTGCTAAGAAAAGCTATTGGTTTCCCCTAGAGCTGTAAAATAATAAATCTAGCTGATGTCATGAATAACCAGGACAGTAGAGAAGTATTATTTTAATTAGATCACTTTTCCAAGTTATGACTTTAAAAAATTAAGAATAAAGATGTCTACCTTTTCCATCTTCTTCAAATGTAGATCTTCCAAGAATCTCATCAGTTGATTCCTTCCGACGACAAAGTTTGAAGAATTCAGTAAGAAAGTCACCTACAAATAATACAATTGTCTAAATATTTAGCTGGAGAAGATACTATAACAAATTAATCATAGCATATGTCCTTTTTCCTCATTGCAGGAGTCTCTTGGGGAAAGAGAGAGAAGTGTTAATTATTTTGACTATTAATCTGAGAAATGTACCTATTAATATCTGTAGGCCATGTTTTACATTAGGGATGTTACATAACGTGTAACTGAATAGTGGTGTAATCACATCAAATTTTAGCTGTTACACAACTATTCAATAGTCCTCTGTATCAGAGGCAGTTGCGTGGGTTAGCAGGTGGGAACCAGTCCACGAGGGGAGCCAATTTAAAAACTGACTTCCTGCACAGACTGTTTCCCTCCTGCCACTCCACATGACAGCAGCTCCTGTCCACAAGGGATCTAAGGTCCCTGCGGATGAAGCTGCTCCACAGCAGGATCCCCTCTCCATGCGGAGCTCAGACCCACCCATCTCCCCCACACACACAGACAGAGACTACTGCCACGGAGCAACCTCTTTCCGTGGTGAGTCCAGGCCCACCATCAACATAGGCTGCTTCGCAGCAGCTCCCTCCACCCCCACCACAGCACTGCTGCCTCTGATGGGGGGAGAAGAGATGGGTCGGGTCCGTGGAGCCAGCACACATAGAAAGTTCTTAAAACGAGAGAGTCGGCTCTCCCCTGTCCCCCTCACCCTCCACACTGCTGCCTCTCTATCAGATGGAGCAGCGCGAGGGGGGGAAAGGGGTCATTGGCTCTGATACAGAAGCAGTGGGGGGGGGAGAGGAAATGCATGTAGCCAGGCGTATCAGTTAATCATGTAGTCATCTATGCGTTGACATCCCTATTTTACACATTTGTGGATCAAATCTACTAAATTACAGCTTAACTAGAGTGAACCAACTCCAACTAAAAAGCTAACAACAACCTATTCCAAGAATCAGAAGGGTAGCCGTGTTAGTCTGAATCTGCAAAAGCAGCGAGGAGTCCTGTGGCACCTTATAGACTAACCAAAGTGTTGAGCATAAGCTTTCGTGGGCAAAGACCCACTTCATCAGATGCATGTTGAAGTGGGTCTTTGCCCACAACAGTTTATGCTCCAACACTTCAGTTATTCTAAGAACACATCCAAAACTCAGTTAATGCAGTGCCTCACCCTTTGTAGCCTGCTCTGCTTTTCTGGGGATGTTATCTCAACAAGGAAAAGGAATTCCAGAGTTAAGAGCCCGTATTAAGAAGAACATCATGCCTCCATGATTTACAAATCTAGTAAATGTCACCTAGTGAGCCTGACCTGATCACATATTTAGGATGGACATAGGAAGAAACCATCTCTCAGATAAAGATTCTAAGCAATACAGTGCTTTACAGAACAAAATCAGCATGGGAACCTTAGCCAGAACTTAGTGAAAGCTGAGTAGTACAGTTTTATTAGACCTGTGCATCAAAAAAAAAATCTGTCTTTTCTACACTTATGGGCTTGAAAGACAGCTTAATTTGAAGTCCATTCAGACAATGAAAGAAGTCAGGAAATTCTGTGCTTACAATTAAGAAAAATTATGAAAAAAAATGCAGAATCACAAGGGATTAGGAGACTGGTCATCTATTCAACCCTAAACTTCATCTCCTCGCTGTTTAAAATGAAGTTAAAGATGTCTTACCTAATAAGCACTGAGGATTATCTGCTTTTCTGACTCTCACAGACCACTGTGGTGCTTGAATGGGATCCAAGTCACTTTAAAAAAAAAGTGCTAATTGTCAAAAAACAGCATTAGGGGATATTATTGCACCATGTATAATCAAATGGTTTTCAGAATTGCAAGGTAAGAGCTAAGTATATAAAACAAAGAAGTTGGCCAAACTAAGTTATAGAAGTCATAATATAAGTTGCATTTTGTACATTAGAATAATGCTGAAGTGAAGAACAAGACAAAGAGAACAACATGAATTAAGTGAGAAAAATTAACAACAGATGGAAGTCTTAATAAACAAGGATCCTGTTTTCACACATGGGTCTAAAAAGTCAGAGAAGACAAATACAAAAAAAATAGGCACTATCTAAAGCTAAACAGAATGTATTTCAGCGTTTAACATATGTCTTTAAAGAACATTTAATTGTCTATGTATGTTTTCCTCCTAAAGTTTCCAAAACTTAGAACCACTCACCACAAAATGAACAATTAAAGTGCTAGCATTCTTTTCTAAAATAGGTCAGTGCATACTGCTGACCATGCTTGCTATATGAAGTAGAAAGCAGAGATGATATCCCGTTCTTCTGCAAACACAGCTATGGGCTTAAGTAACTCCTTTGCCTTCTCAGGTTCACTAATGAGGCATCTTTCTTCCTCTGAATGCTAGACCAGCACCCTTAAATCAATTAATAAAAGAGAGCTAAATGGAAACTAGAGAGAGAATTAATGCAAGACAGGAGCACATGTACTATGTATACAGAGATCAGCATGTAATGGTCTTTTGCCAATGCACACATAGGAAAAAATTATTAGAAAACAAATGGTTCTGAAATACTCTTATCTGAGTAATACATTCATCAAGGAATTAAAATAAAAGTCTTAGACCTTTAAACTCTAGGTGGCATTAAAATGAAAGGCTGTTAATAGATGAAGAAAAAACATTTATTAATTCATACATTTACAAATACACATACTTACGAATAAACATCATTGTCCACAATTATACCTTCTGTTAGATGAGGCCATGTAGCTGCCAAATGGAGTTCACTGAAACAGCAAAAACTTAGCATAAATGATGCTAGACTGAGTATTGAGAAGCAGTGGAAGAGAGTTTCAAGTCATAAATGACAGTTAATCTCCCCTAGCTTCCACTGAAATTCACTGGAAGTTAGGGAGCTAACTGCCATTTATGCCTTCAAAATCTCTCCCTTTGTAACCTAGCACAATAAATCCTTGAACCAAATCCATGATTACAGTTTTGTTACATGTATTGTATTCTGATTTCAGGGTTTTATTACTGAATTTTGTGTTAAAATTGAAGTCAAGTCTTTTTTGTTTTGTTTTTAAAACTTTGGGGGGCTCGAGGGATATAAAATTCATACTCTATTGCTCAAAAGAGCAAAAATATTAAAATATATTTTTAATGCAGACAAGTTGACATGCTTGCACTGACTACACAAAATGTATTTCTATTATACTGTGCCCATCACCCAGTATGTGAATTCCTTTTAACAGCGCATTAAATAAATAATGTGACTAACATCCATCTTATAGAGCTCTTTCCCCAATTCCTTTCCCTATAGGAAAAGGGAGGGAGTTTTTCATTTTGTTTTGTTTTTTAATTGTATGTATACGTTATGTGTGCAGCTTCAAGAGTGGGGCAATAGGAAAGAAGAGGTTACTTACCTCATAACTGTAGTTCTTCGAGATGTGTTGCTCATGTCAATTCTGATTAGGTGTATGCGCGCCACGTGCACGGCTTCCGGAGCTTTTTTCCCTGAGCAGTATCCATAGGGCCAGCAGAAAGCCCCCTGGAGTGGCGCCGGTATACCAGTGCATATATACCCCTGTGGCCCCTCCACCCCCTCAGTTCCTTCTTGCCTGCTCCTTCTGACAAGGGGAAGTAGGTGGGATGTAGAATGGACATGAGCAACACATCTCGAAGAATTACAGTTACGAGCTAAGTAACCTCTTCTTTTTCGAGTGCTTGCTCATGTCCATTCTGATAAGGTGAATCCCTAGCCATTCCCCTGGAGGTGGGGTCAGAAGGTGACTCTGACTATACTTCTGCAGATCTTATGACTACCCTCCCCACAGCAGCATTCCCTCTAGCCAGCTGCGTGATCACATAGTGCTCTGCAAACGTATGCACGGATGAGCACGTTGCTGCCCTACAGATTTCCGAGATCGGCACATGCGCTAGGAACGCCGCCGATGTCGCCTGAACTCTCATGGAATGGGCTGTTATGTGCGGCGGTGATTTGCCTGCGCCCTCATAGCATTCCCAGATGCAGGAAATAATCTATGAAGACATACGCTGCGCCGAGACTGGCAGTCTTTTCATCCTTTCTGCCACTGAAATAAACAATTGTGGTGACTTACGAAATTCTCGCGTCCTATGTAAAACGCTAAAGACCTCCTAACATCCAGACAGTGAAAGGCCTCCTCCCTGGGTGTGGAGCGTGGCTTGGGGTAAAAGACTGGTAGGTAAATGTCCTGAGATAGGTGGAAGTGAGAGACCACCTTGGGTAGGAAACCTGGATAGGGACGCATCCTCACCTTGTCTTTAAAGAACACTGTGTAAGGGAGCTCTGAAGTCAGTGCTCTAAGTTCTGACACCCTCCTAGCTGAAGTAATGGCTACCAGGAAGGCTACCTTGTAAGACAAGTGCTTCAGGGAGCACAAGGCCAGCAGCTCGAACGTGGGGTCCTGCGAGGATTTGGCGTCGTTTATGAGAACACTGAGGCTCGCGAACAACGCCCTTGCCCTTCGATTTGGTCTTGCACCTGTTCCTGAGATGTGCCCCTTATCAACCAGTTGTCTAGATAAGGGAACTCTTGAACTCTGTGTCAGGGATGTGGCTACTACGGCCATACATTCGGTAAACATCCTCGGCGCTGTACATAAGCCAAATGGGAGGACCGTAAACTGGAAATGGTCCTGTCCCACCACAAACCTGAGAAACTTTCTGCAACTGGGGAACACCGAAATGTGGAAGTAAGTGTATTTGAGGTCGAGAGCAGCGTACCAATCTCCTTTCTGGAGCGAAAGGATGATGCATGCCAACGTCACCATCCTGAACTTCGCTTTCCTTATAAATGTGTTCAGATTCCTTAGATCTAAAATGGGACATAGGCCACCCTTCACCTTGGGAATAAGAAAATACCGGGAGTAAAAACCCCTTCCTCTCAGCACTTGCGGAACCCTTTCTACGGCCCATAGGGACAATAGGTTGGACACCTCCTGACCTAAGAGGGTCTCATGAGAGGGGTCCCTGAAAAGGGACCGGGGGAGAGGGGGAGAGGACAGGGTATGAGAGGAAAGGGATAGTATACCCGTTTTACCAGGTCTAGGACCCAACAGTCCGACATGATCTTTGACCATGCCTGGTAAAACAGGGAGACACGGTCTCCGAAGGGTAGATTGATAGGTGCCACTGGTACTCTGCTCTCTAGCATACCTTCAAAACGAAGGCTTGGTCTCCTGGCCAGGGGATGGGCCAGCTCCCCTTTCAGAATCCAACCTAGGGCCTCTGCACCTATTTCTAAATTGGTCGGGACAGCCGTTGTTACGTCCCCTTCTGTGGCCTCTGACCGTCCTCTGTCCTCGCTGGAATGGTCTCTGGTATGGTCTAGGGTTAAGGGGTCACCTCTGGGGTGCTGGGGTATGTATCCTGAGCAATTTCAGCATCGCCCTCGAATCCTTTAAGCTGTGAAGCTTAGAGTTGGTCTGCTGGAAGAACAGACCCGACCCTTCAAATGGCAGGTCCTGAATGGTGGTTTGCACCTCAGATGGGATGCCAGACATCTGCAGCCATGCGCTACGCCTCATGACCTGAATCCGACGCGTCCAGGGCTGCTTGAAGAGACGTGCGTGCCACCGCCTTTCCTTCCTCCATAATTGCCCCAAATTCCTGCCGGGACTCAGGGAGAAGCTGGTTTCCAAACTTTTGCATCGATGCCCAGGTATTAAAGGCATAACGCCCCAGCATCACTTGCTGGTTCACGATGCGTAGCTGTAGGCCTCCCATGGTGTAGGTTTTTCAGCCTAGAAGGTCCAGCTTCTTAGGGTCCTTTGCCTTTGGTGTCGGGCCTGGGGGCCCTTGGCGTTCCTTTTGTCCCACCGCCTGCAATACTATAGACCCCGAGGCTGGGTGGTTAAACAGTTGTTCATGCCCCGCTTGTGGCACGTAATAGCACCTCTCCACCCCCTTCTGTGTTGGTGCAACTGAGGCTGGCGTCTGCCACAGGGTCTTTGACAGCTTGTCCACCGTCTTGTTTAGTGGGAGCACCACACGACCAAGACCCGCCACTGTCAGGATATCAACCATGGGGTCCTGGTCCTTGTGTACCTCTTCACAGATGGGGGCTGGGGTGTTGAGTCTACCAGAGCCTCATCCAGTGAGGAAGATGAGGACTCTCTTGGGTGACCTAATTCTTCCGCACCCTGCGGTGCCTCTGGTTCCCCCCTAGTCAAGGAGCTCGTCTGCAGCAAGCCCGGTGGGACCGTGGTCCCTTGCCCTTGGCTGATCACCAGCAGCCTGGGCAACGCCACTGTGAGTTGGCCCTCTTCTGATGGTGGGGCTCGTAGTGGAGTGACCAAGGGGGCCCTGCTCCTTCGGGACGAACCGGCGACTGACACCGTAGAAGGGGGCCCTTGGGCCTGATGGTATGCCCAAGGTGTCCAGAAGGGCCACTGTGGTTGCCCTTGGGTCTGCCACTGCTGCTGGTCTGCTGCTTCCCGGTGCCCAGATCTGATACTTGAGTGAGATCTATGTTGGGACTGGGACCTATATGATGACCTGGCTGACGACATGGACTCTGTTTCAGACTCTGAAGAATAGTCCGATGCCGACTAGGGAGGAGCAGAAGACGCTTACACCCTCTGGTGTGCCGCCATAGCTGATGGCTTTCCCCTATGACCTAGGCGCGGTGCCGGGGAGGCATCTGTTGCGTCAGCATGGTACCCAGCTGCATCTAGTAAGCCGGGAAGTATTCCTGCAGTGCCGCTGCTGACTGCGGCACCGCGGTCTGCTGCGGCATCGGTGCTCCCAGTCCGTGTCCTGGTGCCGGAAGTGGTGCTGGGAGAGGCAATAATGCTGGTGCCATATGCGATGCAGGTTGTGGTGCCAGCATAGGCACGTAGATTGGCACGGGGCCTGGCACCGTCCATGGTCTGGGCTGCGGTACCGCCTCCTGCACTACGTAGCGAGTGGTTGCGAAGTCCAGTGCCGTCTGGGGCCGTTCTAGCTGCCCCAGTGCCAAGGCCATCGGTACCGGGAAGGCACCCGCCCCCGGTGCCATCACCACCCCGAGGCAGGGAACTGGAACCGGAGCCTGCACTGGCATGGGTGCCAGTGCCCTTGCCAGCACCTGGAACTGCTGCTGCTGGGCTGGAGTCCGCACCTTGCCCTGTGAGTCCCATGGTCTGGCTGGCGGGGCCTGTGGGAGGATGCCTGTGCTTTGTAACGGCGCAGCCTGCCCTTGTGGCACTGGGCCTTCTCCCTCTGCCATGGTCATTTTGATGAGCTCTCGGGCTGAATTGAATGTCTCTGGGGTAGAGGGGCAACGAACCTCCCCTATACCCGCAACCTGCCCTGGGCTCCTAGACTTGTCCGGGCTGCGCCTTCTTTCAGGTGCCTTGGAGGTCAGATGCCCCTCTTTAGGGCGCATCTTATGTGCGCTCCGCTCCGTTGACCGGCCCCTCGAGCCCTTAGAGCTCCTTGGTGCCAGCGACTGCAACCTGTATCTCAGTGCCTTGGCGGCGGCCGCTTACCATTTGGCCGGTGCCGTGGTTGAAGCAGACTGTGTACGGCGGACGGAGTGGGGGCGGTCCTCACTCTGGGGCTGCAATGCAGACTCATCAGCAAGAGTTTTAGCCAAGAGTCTCTTTCCTTCTTTGTTCAGGGCTTGAAACTTTTAAAAATAGAGCAGTTCTCTGCTGGATGGGCTTCTCCAAGGCACTTCAGGATAGTCGGAGTGCGGGTCTCCACAGGGCATAGGTTTTGAGCAGAAAGCACAGGGTTTAAAGAGCCTTGGGGCCCTGGCATTCCCTCCCCTTATGGGGAGAGTCCCACTGTGCTCCTTTGTTCAACTAATTACAATATTTACACTTACTTATCTACTACTCAACAGTGAATTAACTACAAACTCTAACTAGGATACAAAATGAGTAAGAGAAACAGCTGCTAAGAGACAGGTTAATGGCCTTAAAGCATGCTCCAGCTACCATCACCGGCGGTAAGAAGGAACTGAGGGTGTGGAGGGGCCAGCAGGGGTATATATGAACCGGTATACCGGCGCCAGGGGGCTCCCTGCTGGACCTATGGATACTGCTAAGGGAAAAAAGCTCCAGAATCCATGCACGCGGCACACGCGCACACCTAATCAGAATGGACATGAGCAAGCACTCGAAGAAGAACAGGTTGAGAATAAGTTCATATATTGCTGGAAGAAATAAGAGAAGAGTGAATGGTCATTTCCTCTTCAATAAAAGTAGGGAAAAATCTACATGTCCTAAGAATGGCTGTAGTTAAGGAAAAGCGATGGAGTTCCCACAGGAGAACTCAAATTACCACCACAGAACTCCCAGTCAACAATTTTATAATCCAAATCTCCTGGCACTGGAAAACAAGCATAAAATTCAGCTGGTCCCTGGAAAGGTGGAGCATGCACGATCCAGAGCCACTATGGATACAGGTTTGGCAACACTGTTTGAACTAATCCTGGCCAAAATAACTACCCTAACCGTATGCACAGTTGCTACACCCTTTCATATTACTGATCTGCAAATTGCTTTGGCATACTAGAACATAAAATATATTACATGTTCTGTTTCAACCGGGTGAATTTAAAAAAAATAAAAAGACATGGGATCTCAAAAAAATCCTACCCCCAATAATTTATATCACTTATTTATGGATCAAAGAAACTCACCTTCTGCAAATGCCTTTCCTCTTTTGATAATAAAATCAGTGTGCTCAACTGTTTTTTGTTTGTTTGTTTGTTTTTAAGGAGTTCCAAGTCTGACACTTTGCATATGGACACAGCATCTTTAGCTATTAGCATTAGGGTTTGTGTGATAAATACAAAGCTGAAAGTTTATAATTATGATATCGCATCAAGTACATTAAGTACCCAAAATATCTGTCATGAAACTTGGAAACTAAAATACAGCTCTTTGCACTATTCTATGTATTCTAATGTTTGTCAATTTTCATAAAACAGCCTCTCTTAACACACACTGCTCTTAGCTCCTATGCAGTACTTAAACTGCAAGGCCTTCTGTTAGCAGTATATAATGGCTCACAGAGAAGGTTCCCTCTAAGCTGCGTGGCAGCATGGCCCCACAACTGCTTAATCGGCTCTGCCCAGTCAGCCAGCTCTGTGCATGGAGCCCTGAGTCTGACTGGACAGGGCTGATTAAACAGCTGCAGGGAAAGGGAACCTTGCTCACAGATACACCACTGGAAAACAAAAGTCCATATAAAATTAGATTTATAGTTCTGATTTTCTCAGAAGCACTTACACTATTTTATAATTTTCTGAATGCTTAATCTCACCTAATAGGATCTTCACAGGCACCAAATGGTAACTTCCCAAATTCCAGACCTCCAACTTCACCTCCAACTAATGCATCTAGATCTGAAGTCAGAAAAACACATTTTCCATAATTTAAATATAGTGATAGTTTGCTAGAGCAATAAATAGCACACTGCCTACTAAACATAAAGCTTACATGGCATATGATCTTTCTGTTGGAACAAGCAGTTAAAATTTAGATAATATAAAATATTAATTACTAACAACTGACACATTGTCTTGGCAAGCAACATATTCCGCATGATAAGTTATTTTATTAAAGAGGAAAAGTTAGTTTTATTATTTACATTAAGCTATTTCTTCTTCATTAGAATAACAAATGTACTTGAATGATTTCTCTATTTAAATATAGATGTAAATCAAAGTAAAAGATAAACACTACAGGCAAATATTTATATCTTTGGTCACTCATACCATTCCCTTTTATACACACTACAAATGCAAAACATGTCAAATATATGATCTCTATTTAACAAAAGTATCTCCTGAACTAACCAGAAAATAATGTTGGGCATTTGACCCATCCAAAAATAACTGGTCAACCGGTCAGATATAATCAAGAATGGTCAAATCATTTATTAGAAGAGGAACAAAAGTTATAAAGAAAGAATAAGACTTCACGGTCTCCAGCAGGCTTAGCCTTAGATACGTATGTTTAATTACCAAAAAAACCCACACAAGTATTTTAACTGGGTATTTTAACTCAAAAAAATGTTGGAACAATGAAATGAAGTTCTAAAAAAATAGAAGAATGGCACCACAAATTAAAATTAAAAAACAGGCCATTGCCTACATCTGGACATTCTTGCTGTATTATCTGACCATAGACAAATATGCAATTGTCACCCTAAGAACATCCCTCTGCCAAAAGGCAAGGGGCTCCCCTGGTTTCTAGCACAGAGTTTCAGCTGGCCTGACCAGCGCAGTGTATGCCAACTCACTGTTGTCAATCTGCATCTAAAAAGGTATCATTGGAAAACTAACTCACTGACCATTAATATTCTTACATAATGTATATATGGTCAACCTCCAAAGGTTTATACAGTTGTGCTGTAATTATGACTAAAATGTGTTTAAAATAGGCATGTCAGGGTAAGTTGATAAACGGATTTTTCTCCAGAGAAAGGAATGAGGTTCCATGTGTTTCAATGTGTCTCCCGAGTAAACAGAGAAAAGACAGTGACAAGCATATTTGCATGCTAGGCAAAAAAGCTCTTAGGAGAGCAAGTGAGCAGTTAATCTCAACAGTGATAGAGACTGGAACACCAGGAAGCTTTCCTGCCTCTTGAAGTTCCCTCAGAGTTTGACAGTGAGAGACCACAACAAGACCCAGTAGTGGGCCAAACCAGGAGAGCCACACTTACCCCCACTGAAAGCATAGAGGTGGAACAGGAAGGGGGAAGTACAAAAGGCGGGCTCTGAAGCTCAGTTGGGCTGGAACCACAACAGGAGATGGATGCACCATCCTGCCTGCTGCTAAAACCTACAGTGGAGCTGTTGGAGCTGCCACAGTATTCCCCCTTCTTAAAGCAAAAGACCTGTGCACCTCAGGCATGCCAACATAAACCCAAGAGATTATATTGGCGCTCACCATTAATGGGGGCTCCTAGACTGCTTAGCCACTCTGCAGGCCAGAGCCTATTCATTGCTTTGCTGTCCTGCCCTGCCCAGGCCTTGACTCAAGACGGATTAACCACTCTGCCCTGATTGCAAGTTGGAGGCTACTATCTGCTATCCTCTCCTAACCTGGGGACCAGGGCTCATTGACTGACACCTAGCACTCTGGCTGGGCAGACGAGTAAGGTAACTAATTCCCCCCTTTGAGCTCACTCATATTGGTATTCAACAGCGAGGAGGTGTGGCTTCCTTCAGAGACCGACAGGGAGGAATGCAGCCTACACTGATCAATGAACTTGGGGAGATGTATTTTTCAAAGGCAGCATGGACTATAAAGAGAGGGGCAGAGAATCTTCAAATGATCTTCATCCAACAACACGTGGAGGCTAACAGGGCATCATGTTGTGTCTCAGCTCTGGATATCCCCAGAAGCTTGTCCAAACAATCAATTCACATTATTTGACTGGTCAAATGACTAATTTCTCAGCAGTACTAATACAAGGATAGGGCTGTTCCATTCCCCCAAAAAGTATTAACTGCTCTTACTCCTCAGTCTCTACCCACTTGCAGACAACCTACTTTTTGTGCAGCATTGGGACAACTTGTTCTGTTTTATTCTTTCCCTGTAACTTACTCTTGGAATGAAAACAGATGTATATAAAGACTCTTTTCAGTAATAGTTAGTTGATATTCCCTGAATGAGAACCTCCTACTTGACCCCAGCCCATTTTTGTTTTTATGCTCATGGATAAAGCTAAAAATAGGTACCAATAGCAACAGAAGCTGATCTAATAGACCAGCAGAAGCTAGAGGTGTTAGCTAGAAGGCTCTTCTAGCCAGGTCAAGAAGAAGAAACAAATTATTCCCCACTCAGTTTAGTAGAGTAGCTTATTCTGCCAAGTAACCTTAGAATCCAAAACTCTTAAAAAAAATAATAAAAAAATTTCTTCAGACAAAATGAAGACCGTTTGAATACCTGACTTAACCTGCATTACAAGACTCACAAAATAAAACAATCCAATTACAGTGCAAAAGGGCTGTCATATTAAATTTGTTTCTCACCAACATGTTATCTCTTCCTATTAACAACGTGACTGGGCAACTTTGTTTTCTTCTGATTTTTGTGTTTAGGTATATTTGTGGACTTATTTTGTCAGCAGCATGGGATGCAAGGAAAAGTGCAAAGAGAAAAGTGCAACCAAGTGATTTTTCAGCCAAAAGAGCAAAATACACTCAACGAATTAGATTTAAAAACATTGTCATTATTGTTCTCAAAACCTTAGAGAAAAGCATGACTATCTCTATGGCTGACTCTCTCTAAACATGACTAAAGAGCTACTACAGTTTTGCAAAATTCGGCTAAGACCTATACAAATATTAATTCCTTCAGTAATACTCACAAAATATTTTCTTTATGATAACTGTTTTCCATACATTTATTTATAATTATCCTGAAGACATTATGCACATGAATATCCTACCTGGTGGCTGTTGGGGCCAGAAATACTGTTGCCAGTCTTGAAGAACATATGTTAGTCGAATAGATATGCTTACTGGAGGCAGTGGAGTTAAAGGACATCCCTAAAAATAAATAAAAGAAACACTACAAATGAATTAAAATAAATGAACTAGAGTAACACTCTACATATTATACTTATTTGAAACTAAAATACTGAGTTTAAAAAAAAAAAGCCTCAAATGAGTTTTTAACATTGTGATATCTTGTTGTTTCAGTAAAATCTCTTCAGGTATGTCTAGATTGCATTCCTCTTTTGAGAGAGGAATGCAAATGCAGGTGAACAAAATTGCAAATGAAGCACGGATTTGAATTTCCCGTGCTTCATTTGCATAATCGCATCCGGCCGCTATTTCAAAATACCCTATTTGAAGATAAAAATCCCGTGTAGACGCATTAACGGTTATTTCGAAAGAAGGGGTTTCATCTACACGGCATTTTTTATCTCAAAATAGGGTATTTCGAAATAGCGGCCGGATGCGATTATGCAAATGAAGCACGGGAAATTCAAATCCGTGCTTCATTTGCAATTTTGTTCACCTGCATTTGCATTCCTCTGTCAAAAGAGGAATGCAGTGTAGACATACCCTTCCTATATAGCCTTCTTGGGGCTGAAAAAAACGGTTACTTAACTCGTAACTGTTGTTCTTCAAGATGTGTTGTTTATGTCCATTCCACTAGGTGAGCACGTGCACGACACCCGCAACTTTTTTACCCTTAGCAGTACCCGTTGGGCCAGCCATTGGCCCCAACCCCCCACAGTTCCTTCTTGCCGGAATTCCGACGAAGGGGAGGCGAGTGGGACTGGAATGGACATAAACAACACACGTTTTTTCTTTGAGTGCTTGCTTATGTCCATTCCACTAGGTGATTCCCAAGCCATACCTACGGAGGTGGGGTCGGACCTACAGAGAAATGGACTGCAGCCCCTACCGCTGCATCCTGCCTGGTCTGCTGCGTAATTGCGTAGTGAGACTTGAACGAGTGGATTGATGACCACGTGGCCAGCCCACAGGTATACAAAATCGGCACCTGCACTAAGAATGCCATAGACTACGCCCAGGTCCTGGTTGAATGGGCCGTGATAGGGGGCACTGGTTTCCCTTTCAGGTCATAGCACGTTCTGATACATGGAGTAATCCACAATGACAGACACTGAGCTGACACCAGGCAACCCTTCATTCTTTCAGCTATGGAGACAAAGAGCTGCGTGGGCTTGTGAAATTGCCTCATCCTTTCTAAATAAAATGCTAGTGCTCTCCTGACATCTAACGTGTGTAAAGCCTGTTCTTTCCCGTCTGCGTGCGGTTTTGGGTAGAACAAAAGGGAGGTAGATTTCCTGGGACATGTGAAACAGAGATATCACCTTGGGCAGAAAGGCTGGGTATGGCCGTAGGGTCACTTTGTCCTTAGAAAACACCAGATACGAGGGCTCCGAGGAAAGGGCACATAACTCTGAGACCCTTCTCACTGAAGTGATGGCTACCAGAAACGCCAATTTCCAGGATAGACGGGACAGGCAACAGGTAGCCAGCGGCTCGAACCAGGGCCCTCATGAGGCTGCGGAGCACCAGGTTCGGGTCCCACCGGGGGATAGGTTGTCTAACCTGAGAGTACAGTCTGTCCAGGCCCTTGAGGAACCTCTTAACCATTGGAAGGGCAAACACTGAGCGATCACCCTCCCCATGATGGAAGGCCGCAATAGCCACCAGGTGGCTCCCTAATCGACGAGGAGGAGGAGGAGGAGGAGGAGGAGGAGGACCCCCTATTGCTTGAGGCTCAGCAGATAGTCTAAAATCCTCTGGGTGGGGGCCGAGTCCGGGACCCCCCTTCCCGCCGGCGATCCAAGCGAAGAACCTTCTCCATTTAGCCCTGTAAGCAGACCTGGTGGAGGGCTTCCTTCTCTCCCTCAGCACCCTCTTTACCGGGTCTGAACATAGAAGTTCCTCCCCTCTGAGCCGCTAATCTTCCAGGCCATGAGGTGCAAGAAGTGGAGATCCAGATGGCACACGAGTTAGCAGGTCCGGAACCTGAGGGAGAGGGATGGGGTCTTCCACTAGAAGGTTCCGCAATGTTGACGGAGCCACGATGGTGCAATGAGAATCAGCGTCACCCCTGTACTGCCTGACCCAAATAAGCACCTCGTGAAGCAGAGGAAAGGGGGGGAAAAGGCATACAGCAGCTGTTTCGGCCACCACAATGTCAGGGCCGGTTCCCTCCTGCGGTATGAGCAAAACATGGGGCATTTCCTGTTGTGCCTCGACACAAATAGGTCCAGGAAGGCCTGTGGAAAAGTGAGCTAGCCACCTCCTCTGAGGGACCACTCGTGGGCTGCAAACGCCCTGCTGAGCTGGTCCACCAGGGTATTGTGGGCCCCCGGAAGGTAGGTTGCCTGCAAATTAATGTCATCGACAATGCAAAGGGCTATTGCCTCCTTGCAAGGGGAGAGGAGCAAGAACCACCTTATCTGTTGATATAGTATATGGCAGCCGTGTTGCTCGTTGGAACGGAAACACAGGTGCCCTTCAAACAGGGAAGGAACATCAGACAAGCGAGCCACACCACCCTCAATTTCTTGACATTGATATGTAGTTTCTTCTCCACCTCCGACCACGTACTTTGTGTCCTGAGCGCCACCTCCTCCCCAGCCAGATCTGAGGCATCCGTCCCCAGCTGCATCGTAGGGAGAGGTTGCACGAACAGGACTCCGCTGCACACCTCGCTCTCCCTTGTCCACCAATCGAGTGCCAAGAGGACATAGGAGGGTATGGTGACCACCTTGTCTATATGATCGCGGGCTGGCTTGTAGACCCTCGCCAGCCAGGACTGTAGCGGTCACTGATGCAGTCTGGTGTGTCGAATGATATACGTGCATGCCGCCATGTGGCCCATCAGCACTGCCTTGCTGTGGTCACAGGGGCAGCCTCCAGGTCCTGGACCATCCCCCTTATCAACTGGAACCTGAGGATCAGAAGGTAGGCCCTCCCTGCTGTGGCAGTAGTTCAGCAAACTGGTAATGCTTGGTCCCTACCACGAACCTCAGGAATCTCCTGTGGTGAGGGGAAACGGAAACATGGAAGTATGCATCCCAAAGGTCAAGGGTGGCATATCAGTCTCCCAGATCAAGTGATGGGATAATGGAGGCCAACGTTACCATTCTGAACCTTGAATTCCTTATGAAGGAGTTGAGCCCTCTGAGGTCCAGTATGGGGCTAAGTCCAAAATCTTGGACTTCGGGATAAGGAAGTAATGGAAATAAAACCCTTCCCCCTGAAACCCGGGGGGGGGGAGGGAGGGGCCTCCTCCACTGCCCCCAAAGATAGGAGCACAGATACCTCCTGCTGGAGGAGATGCTCGTGAGAGGGGTCCCTGAAGAGGGACAAGGAAGGGGGGCGAGAGGAAGAGAGAGATAGGAAAGGGATAGAATAGCCTGTTGCCACCACCTCGAGGACCCAGCGGTCTGACGTGATGGTACTCCAGGCCTGGTGGAAAGGGAACTGTCTGTCCAAAAGGTCAACCTATAATGAGAGCTGGTGTGTTGTCCTCAGGCATGCCATCAAACATCCGATCTGGAGCCCTGGGGCTTATTGGGTGGGCCCTGGTTGTGGTCCAACCCCGAATGAGAATGCCTCCTCATATTCCTGGCGGAATCATCCCTGGTTCTGTGCCTGCTGTCAAACCTGGCCCCTTGATTAAAGCCCCTCACCCCTCAAGAATTCAGAGGGCAGCATTGAGGTGCCGGGGTATGCAGACCCAAGGATTTTGAAGTCGCCCTAGAATCCTTCAGGCTATGGAGACTACTGTCCGTCTGCTCCAAGAATAGGCCCGTCCCCATAAAAGGTAGGTCCTGCAGAGTCGTCTGCACCTCTGTGGGAATGCCAGACACTTGGAGCCAAGAACTCGGGCGCATGACTATGCCATTAGCCATAGCCCTCACAGCTGAGTCCACTGAGTCGAGAGAGGCCTGGAGGGCCGAACTACAGACCGCTCTACCCTCTTCCATAAGGGCGTAAACTCCTGCTGCGAGAACTGGGGCAACCTGGCCTCGAACTTATTAGCCGCCACCAAGGAGTTGAAGGCATACCTACTAAGCATAACCTCTTGATTGGCTATCCATGGGGTCCAGAACAGCCACTGTGGAGGAGGCTGCCACTGAGTTGGCCAGGTCTGCATCTCCAGTTGCTGATGTTTCTAAGACTGGTGCCGAGAGCTTGATCAGTGCAGAGACCTGGAATGGTACCGAGGGCTCGACCTATGCGACCTGCCGGAGAGCCTAGAGGAGGCCCTAGAAGAAAGGGACTCCACTTCAGACTTGGAGGCATACTCCGATGCCAACCATGGCGGTGTCCTTTTGAATATGTTGAGACATGGCCGCTGGCTTGACGCAGTGCTGGTAGTGGCATGGTCTCGGACTCCAGTGCCAGCGGGTGTGCAAGCAGGGCCACACGAGGTCTGTCCCGCGCCTGGTCTTGCGCCCCGAGCACGGAGCCAGCAACCAAGTCTGGGAAGCTCCAGGACCAACAGTGCTGGGACCTGTGAAACTGGAGGCAGCACCACCAAGGGAAATGGTGCCGCGGTAGATGGTGCCGAGGCAAATGGTGCCAGCAATGCCGAAGAGGGCTGGGCACCCTGCCTGTCCCAGCTGGCTTGGGTGTCAGTCCCATGCAGTGCCGGTCCTGGGGATGCTGTGAGCTTGAAGAGCTCCTGTGCTGCCAGGAATGTCTCTGGCGTTAATGGTGGATGGACCTCCTCCACAGACAGGCCTGGGGAGTCAGGACCGCTCTCCTTATGAGAGCTGGGTCCCCTTCGGTGCCACTCCTGTGCCAAGGCAGTAGAGTGCCCCTCCTTCTGACGTGTCTCCCTTCTTGAAGGCAACCTGCCTCTGCGCACCCTCTTGTGCGCATGCAGGCCTGGGGACTGGGAGCGGTGCCGTGGTACTGGCTGGTGTTCTCGCACCGAGGGGCATCCTTCCTGGTGCCCAGTCTCCCGCACTGACCCCGGTGCGCTCTGCACCTATGGTGTCTCCGGTGCCATGGGTTGGAGCGCCAACTCCATCAGGATAACCTTAAGTCGTGAGTCGCGCCCCCTCTTAGTATGAGTCTTGGACGACTTGCAGATTTTGCAGGAGTCTAAGATGCCATGCACCCAAGCACAAACAATCCTTGTGCGGGTCCCCACGGGGCATAAGTTTGGAACAACGCCGGCACAGTGTGAAGCCCTGCGTCCCCAGCATTCCCTCCCCCTTATCAGGGGACGTGTAAACTACTCTAACACTCTAACTATGCAAAACAAAGAACCAACATTAACTGTAACAGAGAAGTATTTGCACTAGAAACTAGATAACTAACTAAATGCCCAGGGCAGTCTTGCAGAGCAAGACAAGCATTCCGGTCGACCACCACGGGCAGTAAAAAGGAACTGAGGGGGGTTGGGGCCAGTGGGGGTATATATGCACAGCTATACCAGAGCCACTCTAGGGGGCTCTCCAGGCTGGCCCAACAGGTACTGCAAAGGGTAAAAGAGTTCTGGGAGTCGTGCACACAGCACACATGCACCTAGTGGAATGGATATAAGCAAGCATTTGAAGAAGAACTTAATGTCAAATTCAGTCATTTGGCTTTAAAAAAAAAAGTGGCCTAACAAAAG